AAGCGGAGGAGGGGGGAGGGAGCAAACTAAAAATAAAGCCATCGACTTTTTTGTAGATGGCTGTATTCTACAAATATGATTTTTTGAACTCTGAACTAGGTGGCAATACTTGCCATAGTTGAGAAACATGTATGTTGATCACGAAAGTAAAAGTGGGAAAACGATTACTTCGAAATATTTCACCAAATCAACTTTGAGTGACAGCGCTGGAACTAATGCTACAATTTGGAGGATAGGGATGGGGGCGGCGAGTGTAAAATGTAAATGTAGTCAAATGTAGGAGTATACTAACAGCTTCAAACATCGATTTGCATTTCTGGGTGTGTGAGAACCAATGACACAAAGGTGACTCCGGCGAGGAGATGCAAATATTCAACTACTGTTCAAACTATGGTTAGTTTCGTTGGCTAACTCGTTGGCTAAGTAATCTGGCACTGCCAACATTTAGGAAAGGTGTTTTAGATAAATTCAGATTGTCGTTCTTCTACGGCATAGCAGAAGCAAAAGCATCTCCACGAAACCAGAAGAGAAAATGCAGAGCCTGACAAGTCGCTAGTGATTCATATGAAAGTTAACAAAAAAGCAAATCGCGTTGTAAATGGTGCCCAATAATTTTTCAAAACTGTACCACCTTTGGCACCTCAACGGAGGTTGCAGGGAAAAAGTGTTTTAAGCTAAGCCATGGGCGAAGACTGTAGGGGATTTCCAGTGGCTGTGGGATGATATACACTTATAAAAAGCACCTCTACGAGGCCAGAACGAGCAGCAAACAGTTCTGCGCGGAGAGCTTCTTCGACACGATTTGCCTTCGCCAGTTGGTCCTTGACCACGATTTCCAGCTGAGCTGCCTTTGTTCGCCAAATAAAGGCCTCGTTCTGACAAGCCTGAAAATCGGTAATGGTGGAGAAACACAGCTCACCAACACGTCGTACCTGTATGTGATTAAGAGCCTCCTGACTGAGATACATTGGCTGGCCGGTGACCTTGGATTCAACTGTGACACAACTAGGAGATGCCAGCATTGGAGATGACATAGTCATCTGGAAAACAAATGTTATGAAAGAAAAAGAACGGGAGCGTAAGAAGATGGATGTATTCAATAAGAACCTGATCCGGAAGGCTATGCACTGGGGATAGTGGCATAAGGGGTGAAGTTCCCGGCAGGGGCGAACGCCCTGCAAACAAGGAAAAATCAGCAAAGAAAATGTTATTGTCAAAGTTTGATGATCATGCAAACCTGTTCCCTGATTGGGATCGACTGGGTCGGAGGCTACTGGACTTTGGGAAGTGGGCTGAGCATACTGATATGGTAGAATTTTTATCAAAATAACAAGTTTCAACTTAGAAAAAGGAAACCAATGTGCACCTGAACAGCTTCAGTCATGGTTTCCGAATCACTTCTAGGGACATTAATTACAGCTTCAAGATCCTTCACTCTCGCATTGAGCCGAACTATCTCATCCCTAAAAAACAACAAATATGATACAGAGAAGGAGATGCCATCACAAAAGAATCACCTAGCTGTGAGAGTTTCTTGAACGAGCTGATTCACTCTCACGGCGTGTTTCCGTTCCATCTGCTTTTTCTCGCGCTCATGTGCTTCAGCCGCTTCCCGCTCTCGCAGCATGAGACGGTGACTGTCGGATAGCGATGCTTGTTTCACATTTAGAACTTCAACCTGAACTTGGAAAGAAAAGTTAACTTGTTTCGATCCAAATTCGAGAATTCGAGAACGAGTTTGTACTTTCTGCCGTTCACCAACGAAAAAAAA